GGGGGGGGGGGGGGGGGGGGGGGTCTAGGCTAATATTTGATAAATTGCAGAAGCTGACACCTATCGCGCAATGCGTCCTTCTTCAGCACATCACAACCAGGCCTATGCGACCTTGCTCAGCACATTTCAGAGACACGTGCATCCTAACATACAAACTTGAGCAATTCAACCCCAGAAGTTACGAGCAAATTGTAGAAGACATCCGCTTGGCCGCATGATTAGAATGAGGAGTTTCCGTTGAGCAAGGTTTCGAACCCCTTCATTGCACAACTGTACCCTTGCGCCTATAAACCGCGCCGTTTAAAAAAAAAAAAAAGCTACATTTACAGTTCTTAGGATGCTGCTAGCTATTTTAAGATGCAAATAACAATAATAATAATAATAGAAACATGTTTGTCTAATTATATAAAGCAATCAAAGCCAACCTTCTCGAAGTAATGAGCCTGAATGAGCTGTATTTCGATCCATTATACTTTAAAACAAACAAAACACGCGAGCTCCTTTTTTTTTTTTTTTTTTTCGCAGGAGAAACAGATTTGAAGGCGAAATATCATCCAGATCATGCCACAATAGACAGGCTATGAGAAATGTGCATTCGTTTTGTTTACTGGCAAGTTTAGCACTGAATATCTCATCTGCTAGCTGTTATACTATGTACGACCTCCTTGGACAACTATTACACAAAAAGGAGAGGAAACGTGACGGGAAATGCGAGTGGAAACACGCAATTCTGTAATAAAACTCGGGAGAGTATTTTTTTCTTATTTTTTTTTTACAACAAACATTTGAGGGAACCCCAGCGTGAGTCCTCACATTTATACAGTAAATGCCAAGCAGATCACGCGTTTTTCTACGGAAAAACTGAATATGTATGATCGTTTCAACGCGATAGCGCTTACCTACCTGACTGGGGTAAGCTGGGATAAGCCGATTAAAGGGGAGAAACATTGGCGTTTTGCTACGAGTGCAATGCGGGGCAAGATGCACGCAGGAATTCCTCTCTCGTTCTGACAGCTTTAGAACGAGAAGGTGTAGCCGGTCTGATCACCTGGTCATCACTCAGGAACCCACGAAATTGCCGCATCAATCGACGATAACAATCTGGAACAGACGCCGTCATGATTGGTTACGCCCAAGTACGTATCCGTTTCCGGCCTATCTGATTCACTGTTGAGCATCAATTAAAAACACAGCTGAAACCTCAAATGATCACCGTGCAATCTACCTTGACCTTGGGGGCCAATCTCTACAATCATCTATGGAGAGAGCTCTGCAAACGATGAAGTAGAAAACACATTTCGACCTAAAAATGCAATCATGGGCAACGTGATGCTTAGTGCCACAACGTCAACCTAAATTTTAGCGTGAAACGTTCTTTCTGCCTCGACATTCGTCAAACTCCCGATTGCAGTGATTGGCTCTCTCCGCATGTGGACTGTATACAGGAGTGGGCATCGTAGGGCGTATCACCATTAAACGAACAAAGGGTGCGATCAACCTCCATTTCATTATTACCGGGTATACGAGGGTTAGAACATCGTCCAACAAGAACAATGAACATCCGATCATGACGCGAAGAATGTGTTCCTAATTAATCACGCTCCGCATCGCGCGATTCGTCTGCGACGACAGCGAATAAATAGGCAATATACACGCGCTCGGACTTGAAACATCGAGAGGATTCAACCGCGCTGGTTGGTCCGATGCCCGCAGAATGGAAAACAAGGTCTTGACGGCTGCGATTCCCAGCAACGCGTGGTTGCGAATCAAAGCTCAAATAAAACAAATCCGCATCGTCAAAAGCTGCCTCATTTAAAGGACACTCCTCTCTGCAGCGGCTGGAAGAAAATCCAGACGTGAAAAGGCGCTTCTCGGCGACGCAAAACACGACAAGCAGGTGTTCGATCCAGAGCCGACCCCCTGCGCGATATTTGTCAAGAACACTGCGGAATTCGATCCATCAGTCGAATGCCCACGCCGAATGCCCACGTGAGCTCAAAGACGAGGTCCGTCTATAGGAGTGCCGAAGGCAGCCTGTCTCGGGTTGCCTCCGTTCAACGCTGCAACAGCCGTCGCCTGCCGTCGCACGCTGCGCGCTTGAGGCCATCCCAAATTGAACGGCCACTCATTTCTGGAGCTGTCAATGGTTGGACTCGCTTCCCCCTCACATCCAGCCGCCATGTGGCGTTCTCTTATTTTTCAATAATGGTTAATTGATTCTGGGCAACATTGGTTTATTTAACAGGGACGCGCCCAAAACTGCTTTTCAAGGACAGCTTGTCCACGTCGCTCGCTAGGCGCCTCCGGTTGCACGGAAACTAATTACCTCTGTTTTTCTTTTGTTTTTGTCCCTTGCTTTACGCGCACGTAGAATGCGGTGAACAGCTTCGCGAGCACACATCTGCAGTGCCGGCATATCGGGATTTTGGAGCTGTTGATACGCGCGCCGGCGTTTTTATTTGTTCCTTCGGTGATGGATTGAGTGCGCGAGTCACGCGTTGGTTATGGCAAATGGAATCGAGTTTCTGGTATCAAGCGGGTCGCCTATAGGAAATCATCGCTCAGTAAATTAGGCGGTTATTAATGAGTCATGTTTTTCGCACTGTTTCCGCGTAGGGAAGCAATTTATTTTTCCTTTTCGTCTCTTTTTTTGTTTCCAACAAGGCGGATTGCTTATTGTAAGATTGCGAGCTCGATCGACTTTGCTCTTGAGAGAAAAGAGTAATAAAAGATGGCGGAACTTGCGAATGTGTGACAACCGTAATCACTCACGCGCACGTGCTTCACTATAGACCAGCTACGCAGGAGTTTAGGTGCGACCGGCGGAACCGTGGGCGCTTGTCGTACGCCTAGGGAACACACGGGCGGCAAGGCTCGCAGGAAGTGCAGGCCCGGCCTTTTGTTTCTGCTAGCATGTCTTGCTAATGTATACTTTCCTATATATAAGTCACACCTGCCAACTACATATATATATATATATATATATATATATATATATATATATATATATATATATATATATATATATATATATATATATATATGGCCTACACAACGCACTAGTTACGTAATAAACATAGACCCACAAGTACAAATCCCCCCCCCCCTCCCCCCCCCCCCGCAGTTCTCATTGTTTAAGCAAGGGCTAGCGACATCGAATCGCTTAAAGTGAGACACGGATAAATATGTTCGAGTATGAGCCTCTGGTGAAGATGAAGAACGGTGCAAAGTTTCGAGATAATTTCGGTTGGCCACGGAACCCAAGAGGAACATTTCTTAGCTAAGTAGTTTATCTGACACCATTCAACAGGCCAGCTTACTCCAAACACTAGTCTGAGCATGAAATGAGAACGTAATAAGACCCTATAATTAGCGGTCATGTACGTTTCAAGCCAGTCAGACACGATATATCAACATACTGCAAAAGTCTGTGATATATGAAGCTCTTTGTAATGACACCGCAAACTTTCTTTGGCGTATTTCACGCAACAACTATACGCTGCCGACCTCAAGTAGCTCAAAGGTTTGGACGGTAGTGTACAATCAGCGGATTGCCTTCAAGATACTATAATTCGAGATCCAAGCCATCTGTACAAAACGCCTCCGATGGGAAATACAAGATCCATAATTACTGACAGAACGTAAACAAACTTTTCTTTTGGTCTATGCGATTGTCGACCAATGTAGGCAGGAGCTGTTTTCGTTGTAAACACGTCGGGGTTAAACTTGGATTTGCTAATCGTATGTTAGTTTCGGCGAAATGATGGCAGAGAATTTAAATAAAATGAGAATGACCCATCGGTTTTTACTTGCCTTCACAGCGTTACGTGGCGAAACACAAAAACAAAAGGCCGGGCCTGCACCCTCTTCAATGTACTTATTTTGAGGGCATTTGAAATAAATAAAAATATTGATATCGGCGACTAAGCCGTGCGGAAAAGCCCGACAAAGCGACATATCAAACGTTGGCAAGGCTGTCATGAGTAGATTCCCCATAATAATTTAGTGGCTAACTGAGTGTCTACAATGCAAACTGACTACTCGATGCATGCTATATTTCATAATCAGAATCTCAGCTTTGCATAATCCCACAACGTGAGCAATTTAGAGGCATTCTTGGATGCCAGTAAAGCATTTAAAAACAAGTACCTACCACTCACAGTTCTTAGAACAGCTAGTCATCGCAACCCTTTCGGAGGCATTACTGACCCCGCGAGGTGTTTTCAAAAAATTATATTTTTTCTTGAATTTCGCCACGCGTAAAGAAATTATAAATATTTCAGCTTTTTTCGCTGTTGTTTTCATTGCACTGCATTTTTGCTTGCCTCCAACTTATGTAATGCCATCCACCGGACCAATAAATTAAATAACTAAAGGGTAGAACGGATTAATCGAAACAGAGGATCGGCGAAGCGGACACAAAGCACGGAGGTCAGAACGTACTTAGTGTTTCTTCTTCGCCACTCCCAAGTACTATAATCCTGAAATATTTTCTAGTGCAAGCCGCGCTACAGAAGTATTAGCGTCGAGATGCTTCAGTGGCACCCTTAATAACCGTAGTGTCACGACCTTAACGCCGTAACGTCACGAGTTCTGATACTGGCTACTTATCATCAGCTGCGAACGGCAAGTTCAATGGTGTGAGTAAAAAAGTAAAGCGGAAACCTGGAGTCATCGCATTCTAGTTGAGAGGCTGACGTCACTCTTATTTCCATCGATGAGAGCAGAATCAATCCCACTGAGGACGTCATAGTGAGTGTTTGTAAAATCGTGGAAAGGCAATCACACCGACGCTTTTGGTCACGCACGTCGCCAAATAATATATACATTTTTTTTTTTCCTGTGATTCTTTGCCGACACACATCACACGTCTTCTTGGGGTGTCTGCCATCTGTTGGACGGCCTGAGTCGTATTAAGAAAGAACAGAACTACCGCACAATGCCAAAATCGGAACGAAAAAAAACAACAAAATTAGCGAAAGACAGATGTTTCAACTGACCATTGCGAGGAAGTAGAACTTTTCGAACTCGTACTCTTGGTCCTGGATGGCCGAGAGGGAGTCGGCCACGAAGGCGTGCTTGGACAGGGCGTCCGCGCCGTTCTTGCAGATCCAGGACAACACCTGTAACGGAGAGAAAGGAGAAGCCTTACAACGACGTCGTTATGTAGACTGCCGTTTGCTCATCAACTGCGTTGCATAACATGCTTATCAGACTCACGCATGCTATATATGCCGTTGCCGGAGCTCGAATTAACCGACACGGCCAGACAAAACTACCAGATTAAACCTTCCGTCCACCGGAATGAAACGACTGCCGTTTTCGTTCGCTTTGCCTTATTCGTTGTTCGAGCTTATTGTTTCGGCAACCATGCGAAAGGGTAGCGAGGCAGATGATGCCCCAGCAGGCCAGTGCTGAAGAACAACGTTTTAATTTTTTTTTTTTTTTTTTTCTTTTAACCCGATGGCGACGACAAGGGGAGAAAGCCGACGTTACAAAGCTGCCGACAGGTATTTCGGTGATTGTCCAGGGCGGGAGTACGCGTTCCGAAACAGGTCTGCTCACGGCAGCCGTGACGGGGTCCCGTCCCGAGGAACCACACCGACACCATGTTCCCGAACAAGGACGGCAGTCGCGCTGTGAACGGCGAGCTTTGTTCGGCGGAACAATCGGGAACACCTGCCATTCTTCCGCGCCCCAGCCGCGGAAAACGCCGACCAACGCGATGCTCACGCAGATTGGAACCCGAAACGGGGTTAAATCGCGGGCTTGCTCTCAAAGTGCCTAATCTCCTCGGTGAGATGAGGCGACGAAAGAGGACCGTTTGTGATGGCTTTGATGAAGACGATGCCACGGTCCTGCTGAAAGTGTATCGGCACAAGGCCGACCCTTTGTGCGGACGTGTGCTTGGAGGTGTTTGTGCGAGGTGCGACGAACTTGCACGGGCGGGAAGGAAGAAAAAGAGAGAAGAACACACGTCTCACATTTCCACTCGAGACAAATAAAAGAAAAGCGACCAAGAAGGTCAGAGGTCTCCGAAGGACCGGAGCGATGAGGTTATCCCTTCATCACGTCCGTGCTAAGAAGGTGAAGCTGCACTGTTTGGTGGCCTTCTTACGCTGCGCGCCTTTTGGATTTATTTTTGCTCGCGGGATTTATGCTCAAAGCGGCGATTGATATCGTTCTTACATTTACTCTTCTCCGGGTGCCCGAATGGGCCAAAGTGGATTCGCTGCTTTGACGAGCCTTTCTTTGCCTGGAAAGATTTGGGACGCGATCGGGTCATCCTCGGTGACTTTCCGGTGCGGACAATGCTAAAAGCTAAGAGTTACTCAGGCCGAAGTCCGGAGATCGAGGAAGTGACACCAATTGAGCGAGAAACCAGACGACATAAACGTTTACGAAGGCTGCAGCTGGTGGACCCTGACCCAACTCTTAGCCGTTATTCCATGGTGTGGCGAACCAACTTCACAGTGTCACTAGCTCAGGACGTGACATCTGGTGCACGAACTGCCCACACGCAACTGCTGTAGGCCTCTGAACATCGGCCGCCAGATACGCTTACTGACACCATTGCGGCACACGCCAGCCAGACAACCGTAAATTATAGTGCGCCTATAGTCACGAATGGCGGTCAGAAAGCTGCACTGAACGTGCAACTGACTGAAACAAAGAATGTCCAATGTTACACCGAGGTTTATTATTAGTGCTGCTTTAAGCGCGACGAATACTGAAAGCGATAAAATGTCTAAAAACTTCCGAAACGCCATAATAATAATAATAAAAAAAAAGCCTATCGTTCGAACAGAAATGGTTTATGAATTCAACACAGAAGTATACTTTTAATTAATATTATGGGTAACAGACAGGGGGATGGAAATGAAAGTTCTCAGGGTCATTTCATGAAACCTAAATTGCTCGTAAAAAATTATTGTAAAAAAAATTAAAATAGATTTGAGTGGAAACAGGAAAGGATAGAGTAAACACTCTAAAAAAAAGCCCGTGCGTCTACTTTCCCGCACAACACTCAGAGATCCAATCACCGCAACTTACGGAGGCAGCTCAGCGCATGACGATGCTGAAACTTATGTTTAGACCAAAAAAACGCAGTCTGAGTTGTGACATTAAGCAATGCAAAACGTCACGCTTGCATGGCTTAATGTCACAACTCAGACTGCGTGTTTTGGTTTAAACATAAGTTTCGGCATCGTCATTCGCTGAGCTGCCTCCGTAAGTTGCGGTGATTGGCTCTCCGAGTTTTGTGCGGAAAAGTAGACGCACGGGCTTTTTTTAGAGTGAATGACAATTTAAGAAACGCAGAGCATGGCGAGAACCGAGCATTTCATCATCGCCCTTCAGCCAATGAGATTGCAGAATTCGCCGATCAGAACACGTAAGAACCAATCACGAAGCAAGAAGCGTAAAGACATGCCCCGCGTCTTTTAAACATTTCGCGACTATAATGTCCCCGACCAGGTCTTTCACGCTCGATGCCGACCAATGCGTGTGTCGTCTACGAGAAGTTCAGGTTGGTTTATACGTTCCCACCGAAAGGCGCGATCACCCTCCAGAAGTGCGCGTTCTGAAAGAGCACGAGGGTTTGCAATAAGCTAAACAAATCCAAGCAAAATAATCTTTTACAGATCTGGCATGGTGGTTCGCGCGAATTCATGAGTGGATGCGGGCGTGCTTCACGCATTGGAGACTCACGGTATAGCTCGAACTCGATTACTATAGCTTTCTCAAAATGTTTTACTGTGTAATTTTTTTTTTTTTTGTCTTGGAGAGCAGCTGAGGCTCGTTCAGGTGTGCCTGAAGGCCGCAACTGAACATTGGTGCCATACCGACATTACAATGGGGAGAATCTCGCCCCTCGATGCGTGAGAAAGACAGCCCGACCAGTTGTATTCCGGTCGCGTCAACTCCCTTCGTCTTCGGCAGCGGTCGTCCTGCTTCAGGCTTCGTTCCTTACCGCTAGACGAAGCCACGGCGCCGCCCGTTTTCCCGCCTTCTTTCAGCCAGAACAGCAAAGCGGTGCACATTACGTCGTCATCTCACGTAATAGAACGTCCCCATTGTGCGAGAACAAGCGCGCTACTACAAAAAAGAAAATAAAACAACGTGTTTATTTTTTTTTTTCTTTTCGGAACGTCATTAATGGTAGCGTCCCTGTAGCTCAGCGCGCGTGCAGGCTCTCGTCCTCTCCAGGTTTGTCGTTTCGTCGTCAGAGAGCGCAGGTTAGCCTGAGAAAAACTCACACGGGATGTTAGCCCTAAATGACAAGCGAGACCGCTGAAAGTTCATCTTCTCCAGAAGCGGACAGGGGGCCCGCGGTCATTGACACTCCAGCCCAAGTTGGACGCTGCGCGCTGGACGGCTCCAGTCAGTTTCAAGGTCTGCCAGAGGTTCACGTACGGCTTTCACGCAATAGGTGGGTGGGAGAGCCATGATCAGCGGCGGGTGATAAAAGCTCTTTGTGTAGGAAGGAGAAAGCACTAAAGAGACTTGAATTCGGTGCTCGGTATACGAGTGCAGACGACTGATAACGAAAGCATAAAAGCGACCCTCGGAATTTAAAAAAAAGGCGGACAAATGGGCAAGCAGAGCTATCAAAAAGGGGAACAGAGCACTACAGAGAACGTCCTTTATAACAGAGAGTTTTAGTAGACCGTTTTTAAACAGTATAAGCAGCGGAGAGCGGGGCCAAGCGGGCGCGTGCTCAATCTATGCTTCAAAGTGACGGCACGAACTCCCGCTAGCAAAGCGTAACTCTAGAATAAGGTCTGCTAAAAGCCTCTAATAAGTTTACACGATAAGAACGGGTCAGTCCTCTTAATTTCAACACGCACTTCTACAGATGGCTTGCGCAGACGTCGTCGCATCAGCGGCTATTGTGGTGTCTTTGCTTGAGCGCGCACCTTCTGCGGCGTACCCCTTTCGCACCTCGGAATTTGTTTTTCTCGGCCAGAGCAAGTAAGAATGACCACAAACATAATGCGATGACGTCAAGCGCAAGACGTGTATAGAAACATTACCGTTGCGTGACAGGTGGAAAGTGCAGGCATTCCTAGACACACGAGTTACCTCTCTCCGGCTTCTCGCTGTAGCAGTTTTGGAATCCATATGCGTCCTATTCTCGCAGGCGCCTGTTCGTTATTCTAATGGTTCCGTCGTGAAAGGGACCATGAAATGATCTTTCAACTTCTTCCTCCTCAACTCAATTTCTCGAAAGCGAAATTAGATATCACGTGGTCGTGAAGTGCTTAACCGGATCCGGAAGTTCTCCCAGCCGTCTGAAGGGTCGGCGGTGTTAGCTGTTCTAAAATCCCTGGATAAAATTCACGCTTACAAGTACCGCCAAGCATTGTTGTCGAAACGAGCAAGACACATTCCACGAGCAGGTGTTCCACCGCCGTTCGCTTCCACGGGCCGCTCATTTCAGTGCTGCGCCGCCATTTGCTTTTAAGGGCCGCCCGAGGCACGGGCCTCGTGCACTGGTTCATTTGATGTAGGTGGGATACTACAAAGGGATACTACAACGAAATTTCGGCGCTTATTTTGTCGTCTATATGTGTTCAAAGGAGCAGTATCACATCAGACACTCTAATATACTGTTAACTAAGACACGAAAAGGAATTTTAAAACGAATTAAACGATTAGCAAAGAGCACCTGGGCCCGTTTGCTCGAAAAAACCACTAACCGCGGCTAAAGTTAGCCGCAGTATCTAGGTATCTCCTAGGTACTGCGGCTAACTTTAGCCGCGGTTAGTGGTTCGAACAAACGGGCCCTGGTGGTTGTCGCTAACGCCTGGTTTGTATTTGCAGATAGTGAAGACGTTTGTCTCGCCTCCGGCCACGGCAAGAGAAGAGGGGAAGGAGGAACTCCCCTCTTCCCGAGAATCCGTGATGTGTGACCCAGAAGTCGCTATCGTCCCCCTACAAGATTAGAGAAGATTAACCCGCCACCCAAAATTTGTACAAAAGCAGCCGCTTCGGTGGCTGGAACGACTAGGCCATCCTCTCGACGTCAGCGTCGCCGTAGCTTTGCTCGTCCCGAGACGAACTACGTCATGATTGTGTTGGATGTCACGTGGTCTCCGCTGGCTGTTCTCTGAGCGCTTGC